ACGGTAACATTATAACAAAGCTATTATATTATTAGTTCTATTATAACACTTTATAAATGCTACTATAGATATATATATTAATAACATTTAAAAAAAAAAAAAGTGTTACCATTGATATAAAATGTGTTATAAAATTTTAAAGTGTTACATGTAAAAAATGTTATAATAACATTTTAACATCAAGTGTTACCATAGATAGTCTACGGTAACACTTTAAGGAAAAATGCTACTGTCTAGTGTTACCGTAGGCCATTTTTGTTGTAGTGTGATGTTGTGTAGCTATTTGTTATCTTTGTGAGTTGTTGTTGTGGTTGCCGGTTCAGTCTATTTTGGGGAGTAGTTGTTACTGAACTTGAAGTGTTGTTCTTTGATGTTGTTTGACGTCATTTTTAACTCACTCTAAGCTTCCGAAAATGCATCAAGTGGTATTAGAGCTTAGGTTGGTAGAGTGAGTGTTATTCATCTTTTTTTTTCTTCATTTTGTTGGTCTCATTTGTGCTTTGCCAGTTTTTTGTTCAACTTGCATATTTGGGAACAAATCCTCTTCAACTCGGAGAGATTGATGTAAATCCACCTTCAAGACATTCAAGTCCACAAATCTTTATTTCGGCCAAGATAAATCCATGAAGGAAAGCCCAGGTACTTTAATTGGTTTCAATGTACTTGCATGGAGGGTAAACAATTCAAATGGAGTCAATTGGGAGCACATGGGTTCATTCAATAAGGAGACAAAGTTATGACAAGTATGACATTTGTGCGGCTCAAGACATTCCATTTTAGGCAAATAAAAGGTTGTCTTGCTTGGGTGGCTCAATGTCTCTTTCCATTTGTAGTGATGTTGTCATAAGTTATCTTTTCATTGTAATTTGAATTTGACTTTGTATTTCTCTCTCTTATGTGGCATCTAATCTAACCCTATATAAATGGGTCTTCTTTTTCATTGTAATACAAGTTGAGATTGAATTTTTTGAATGAAAATGTGAGAGCTTTAGTGAGAGTTGTTGACTCTTATCCTTTATCCAAATTCCAAACAAGATTTGGTGGTGGTTTTTCCTTGATCAGTGGCTTCACCTTTACGTCTTGGAGGTATTGGCTTGTTAGTGATATCCATAGCTAGTAGCTTAGCTTTTACGATGTGGAGTTCATTGCTATTTATCTTTAATTTGTATGTTGTTATTTGTTGTGTCTATTTTCCATTGGCAGTGGCGTAGCCTTTAAGTCGTGGATTGTTAGGTTTTTATCATTTATGTTATCTTGTATTAATTTTGTTTTTAGTGATCTTCCAAAGTGGTGATGTAGCCTTTACACTTGGAAATCATTGATATCCGCCTTAATTTATCGTGCGTTATTGTTGTGTATTGTTTATTATCTTTGTGAATTGTTGTTGTTGTTGTTGCCAATTTAGTCCATTTTGGAGAGTAGTTGCTGTCGAACTTGAAGTGTTGTTCTTTGATGTCATTTTTAACTCACTCTAAGCTTCTGAAAATGCATCATAAAGCCTGAATTTTCTTGGAAAGTACATTCGATGTCTCATTTAGGTTCTCCCACATCCCAATCTGAAACTGAATTGCAAAGAATATAACGTATTTGCAAAATATTGCCAATCACCTGATGCATTTACAGATGCAATGAAAATAACAATTACATACCTACTATCAATACACCAGCAAGGATTGATGTTACTAATATTCAGACAGTGATTGATTCATCTGTTACATGCCAGAATCATGGTAGACATGTTGGAGCCGTGGATATTGTTCCTAGGAAACGAAAGGCAAAGAGTCAAATATATATCGATATTGACAATACTAGGATAATAGACAATTCCACATCTTCTAAACCATCTCTAGAAAAGTTAATAGCCCCTTGAAAGAGATAAGCCCATGTAAAGGAACAAATCCCTCAAGAAATACAAGAACATAAAAATGAGAAAATCTCTATAAATTATGCTCATACAAGAGAAATGTGGAGTTGTGAGACCATTTTTGTCAATGACATTTTCATTTGCAATGGCCACTAAAATATGAATAATGATTTTGAGCCATATTCTGTCAATAAGTGTTGAAGGAGACATGATTGACTAAAATGGGAAGAAGCTATTCAAGTAGAATTCAACTTCTCTTGCAAAACATAATGTAGTTGGACCTATAGTCCAAACTCCCGAAAACACTAAACCTATAGGTTACAAATGGGTATTCACAAGAAGACGATAGGGGTGAGCGGTTCCGGGTACCTTGCATTTTTTGGGGGAACTGAAATCGAAACAGCACAGTGTAGGTTCCTAAAAAAAGGAACCAGATTTGGAACCTGTCGGTTCTGGTTCTTAAATTCAAGGAACCGAAACCTGAAATGCAGGTTCCAGTTCTTTACCCTTGTACCTTGTAAAAATATTTACCCCTCTATTAGTTAAAAAAATGACAAAAATACTTTAAAAGTTTATAAATATACCCTTAACAAATTAGAAAACCTACATTTAGTAGTTTTCAACTTTTGATTACTCATTCATTTGTGTCCAATGTGACTAAAAAATCCTCTAATCTCTAGGCAACACTTGAATTCAATCAATTAATCACAATTCACTTAAAATTTCTCAATCAAAACCAAAACACAAATAGGTTCCAAACAGGTTCCAAGTCTGGTACTCGCTTCAGGTTCTTTTCCCAGGTTCCAGTTTCGGTTTCGGTTTCGGTTTCGGTTTCAGTTTCAGTTTCGAAACCTGTAAGAACTGGAATCGCATAGTCAATAAAATGGAACCAGAACCTACCCACACAATGTTGGTTTTGAGTAGGTTTTGGTTCCGATTTCAGTTTTACCTGTAGGTTTCAGTTCTACCCACTGGCCATGCTCACCCCTAGAAAACGAAATGAGAAAAATGAGATTGCTAGATATAAGGCTAGACTCATGGCTAAAGGTTTCCTATAGGGACTCGGAATTTACTTTGATGAGATGTATTCACCAATGATGGATCGATCACATTTAGGTACTTAATTAGTTTATCAGTCTTAAAAGGACTTGATATCCATCTCATGGACAGTGTCATTACATATTTGTATGGCACACTAGATACTAATGTTTATATGAAAATCCCTGAAGGATTCAAAATGCCAAAAGCAAATAAAACAAGTCAAAGGAACATGCATTCAATAAAATTACAAAGATCGTTATATGGGTTGAAATAATCAGGACGAATGTGGTATGATTGTCTTAGTGAATATTTGATAAAAGAAAGATACGCTAATAATCCTATATGCCCATGTGTTTTTATAGAAAGGTCAAAATCAGGATTTGTCATTGTGGCATTATATGTTGATGATAAGAACTTAATGGAACTTCTGAAGAGTTCACAAAAGCTATCGAGTACTTAAAAATAGAATTTGAAATAAAGGATGATGGAAAAACAAAATATTGTCTCGGCTTGTAGATTGAGCATTTTTCAAATGGAATACTGCTCCATCTGTCAAATTATGTTGAAAAGATCCTAAAACGCTTTAATATAGATAAGGGTCACCCTTTGAGTACCCCAATGGCAGTTCGGTCTTTTGATTATAAGAAGGATCCATTTCGTCTTAAAGAAGACGACAAAAAGATATTTGGTCTTAAAGTACTGTATCTAAATACAATAGGTACATTAATATATTTGGCTCAATGTATGAGACCAGACATAACATTTGTAATAAATATGTTGGCAAGATTTATCTTTGTACCAACTCGTCGACATTGGAATGTGCTCAAGCATAACTTTAATTACCTTAGTGGACCAACCGACTTGGGATTAGTTTATCCAAAGAAATCTATTAATGATTTTAAATTAGTTGGCTATGCAGATGCTAGGTATCTTTCCGATGCCCATAAAGCTTGGTTGTAGATGAGATATGTTTTTACTTACAATGGCATTGCAATATCATGAGGTTCTACAAAACAAACATTGGTTATTACTTCTTCCAAATTTTTTTTGAGATTTTTGCCCTTCATGAAGCTAGCCAAGAATGTGTATGGTTAAGATCTATCCTCCATCATATTGAGAATACATGCAAGTTACCATGTACCTCAGATACTCCTACAATTATAAATAAAGATAATGCAACATGTATTGCTCAAATCAAAGGAGGATATGTCAAAGGAGACAAAACTAAACATATTTCAACGAAGTTCTTTTACACTCACGAACTCTAGCAGAGTTGAGAGATTGATGTTAAACAAATAAGCTCCAGTGATAATCTTGCATATTTATTCACTAAGAATTCACCGTTATCAACATTTGAAAAGTTAGTGTATGACATCTGTATGCGGCGACTTAATAAGTAACTAAGTTAATTTTTCCATTATGAGAGGGAGTGTTGATCATGGGGAGCATCAATTAGGGGGAGTTTGGAAATGACTATTGTAATGGACTTATATGCACTGTACTCTTTTTCCCTTTGCCAGGTTTTATTCGACTAGGTTTTCGTAAAGGTTTTTAATGAGGCGGTATGAAGCACGTCCAACACCACTTTATAATTTCATCATAGAATTGTATTTCTTTACTTAGGTTTGTTTTTTTGTCCTGCTATTTTTTTTTTTTTTTTTAATCTGCAAATGGTGGATGTCTAAAGGGGAGTGTTGTAAGTGGTGGACTTCCACCAATTTGACACATGACCCATGCAAGTCCACTTGAAGAACATAAATTATAATTTGTTATTGTATAATTGGTCTCTATGGGAGATTGGCAGGTGAAGAAAGACTATAAATTCAGCCCATTTCCATTTATACACAACTCAATTGAGAGAAAGAGTCAATTAAAGTCCTATTCAGCCCTTAATTTTGCCTCTACTTTTTAGTCCCTATAGTTATTTATTTGCAATTACTCCACTAAGATTACCACAAAATGGGGTATTTTTTATTTAGAGCTCAAGCTTTAAATCTTTTGACAAATTGAGGTAGTACCTCACATAGATTTACGTCTGTTTACGAGATAAGGGCCAAATGTTATTTCTTCAAACTTTTCAGCTGCCCTATGTACATGAAATCTCAGGGGTGTTCATGCTATTAGGACTTATTATTATTGCTGTTGGTTATTTCTGGGATTTCCACGAAACGACGTCGGCTGCTATTGAATAAACAGTGTAATTCTATCCCTGAATTTCAGAGACTCCGTCGGAATAACGAAAATCGCAGCTTTTTCAGTAAAGACAAGGGAGAGATGGAGACCGGCGAGCCACGACGGTTCCCTCTGGCGGCTCAGCCCGAAATAATGAGAGCAGCCGAGAAAGACGAGCAATATGCCTCCTTCATCTACGATGCCTGCCGTGACGCCTTTCGCCACCTCTTCGGTACTCTTTATTCCGACCTATTCCACTATTTTCAACTCTAATTTTCCCAGTTTCAAATATAATTTTCTATCTTATCTCCATAGGCACAAGAGTCGCTGTAGCTTATCAGAGTGAGGTTTGTTCTTATTCTTAATATTCCTGATTTTTCAGCCCCAAGCTTCATTGTTTCTGCAATAAGTTTATGCTTTCTTATAAATTTCGTGCAGACAAAACTTGTAGGGCAAATGCTTTATTATTTAATGACAACAGGTTCAGGACAGCAAACACTGGGAGAGGAATATTGTGACATAACTCAGGTTCCAGGCTTAAGCTTCTGTATTTATTTATTTATTTTAGTGATTCTGAATTACTTGTGACCTAATTAATTACAAGTTCAGCTACTGTTTCGTATATACATGAAAATCTAGTGGCCTTTTTAGCAAATTCCTTTCCAGTAAAGTCTTGAAATATCTATTGAGTTTGCCATTGTTTTGTACAATTCTGTGTTGATAGTTGTTCTGTTAGGTTGTAGGCCCTCACAGACTTCCTCCAACACCAGCAAGGCGTGCGCTTTTTATCATATACCAGACGGCCATCCCTTATATTGCTGAAAGAATCAGGTGCCCTTTGGAACTTTATTTAATTTCTTATTTATTTTGTTTATGTTGTTTAGTTTAAAGGGGAAAGATTGAATTTGTGAATCTGCAATTTTGCAGCTCTAGAGTTGCTTCACGTGGCGTGCTCCTTGCTGAATCTCAGTCTGATGAGTTCTATCGGAGCAATGCTCCTAATAGCAGTCAAACTCAATCTTCAGAAATGGTGGAATTTCAGTCCCCCTCAACATCGAGAATGCCATCTTCTGCAGGTTTAAGGTTGAAGGAGAAATTTAAAAGACTATGGTTATCTGCAGTTCAAAGATGGCCTATGGTATACTTGTACTCTAATTCTTATTCTCATACAAGCCTAAGAATATGTTTTTATTGTTATTTTTATCTCTTGCCTATCAATAATATAGGTGGAAGATAAGAATTCTTGGATAAACTAGCTTTTCCTCTCATTCATTTGGACATGAATTTTATTTATTTAAACTCTGAAAGGTTCACAACTAATTGGTTTTCAGTATTATTATGTGTTGGACTTTTTGTTGAATTCAGTCATTTTTAGTGCCTTACATAGCATTATCATTGATAATTTATTCCTTAGACACCTTGTGTAATGTTCCTATAATTTAATTAAGATTTCTTTGCTCTAAACATTTAGGTGCTTCCTATGGCACGTGAAATTTTGCAATTGGTTTTTCGCGCCAATCTCATGTTCTTCTACTTTGAAGGTGATTCCAAGGTTCAAATGTTGTGGTTGTTTTTATTGGTTGAACCTTTTATTTATTTATCATAAATTGTTTTTCCTTCAGGCCTATATTATCATATATCAAAACGTGCAGCTGGCATTCGATATGTATTCATTGGAAAACCAATGAATCAAAGGCCTAGGTATTGCGTCCTCTCTAATTCTTCTTTCTCAATACTACTAAAGATCTATAGGCTTGCACCAGGTATGGTTGTGGGTGTGCCTACCCGTGTGCACTTTTAATGGTTCACAGAAGAACCAGATACGTAAGCTGGTACTTGAACATTGTTCAAAATATTTGAACTTGTTTATTGTCTTTCCATGAAGGTACCAAATACTAGGTGTGTTCCTTTTGATTCAGCTGTGTATCATTGCCGCTGAAGGTCTTCGACGCAGCAATTTATCTTCTATTGCAAGTTCAGTTCATCAGACAACCTTGGGTTCCAACCAAACTACAGCAGGTCCTTATTTTTAAACTTTTATTTAGACATATAAGAAGATTTTTTTTTGTTTCACTTAATTTCAGAAGGGACTTGATATATGAGCTTTGTCAACAAAAAAATCAATTCCGGGTTTGCCAAGTTGATCATATTATCAACTTAAGTGAATTTTAACATGAGGAACAGATTTAACTAAACACTTAAGTGAATTTTCTTTTATTCAAAACAATATATCAATTAAATCACTCTGGGTATTTGCCAAGCTGGATGCAGACTACAAGACTTCTGTGCCACCATCAGAATTTTGAAGTTGGACTTGTTTGAATATTAATGTTCACTGAAGCACCTGAAGTGGCAGATGACATTACATAATTTGGACTGTAGGATTCTATTTTGATGATGTGCTAGCTACCCTTTAAAAATAGTGGCTCCTCTAGAGAGTTTGGCATTTGTTGTCAAACTATTTTTTCCTTAGGCTGGTTTACTAACTGTAGTTGCTCTTTACTTCATGGTCTTGTAGCGCGAGGTTTGCCTGTCTTGAATGAAGAAGGCAGTCTGATATCTATGGAGACTGAGCGGGGGAGTTTGGTTGTAGATTCCACTTCAACTTCTGAGGTATGTGCTTAAGTCTTCCAGTATTCTTGTTAATTTGCAAAATTTTATATATCTAGGTTGTTTCCTAAGGAAAAACTAAATGGAGAACAAAGATAAGAAAACACTGAGGTGCAGGATATCAAAGTTATGTGATTAACATTTAGCATATGACTATCCATGGGCGTAGTTGAGCAAGGAGTGTAACCTGATTGATTTTCACAATTGTGGTTTTCAAAGAAATAAAGCCTCAAACCTTGGAGCCTGTTCCAGGTTTCAGATATGTCCTATGGTACTTGGAAGAGTCCTTGTCTGGTGGGGTTGCCTCAGCACATCTGAATATCCAAATACTGATATTTTTCTTGAACATCATAAACCTTTTAATCCCCAGACCCAGTATATTTACAATCATTATTGGTTGTTTAAATTATCCATATGATGCTATTATCTGCTTGTGTAAGGTTTCTCAAATGAATCTATCATGCAAAAAACCTACTTTTTTGCTGCATGATTTATTGCTTCACTTAGCTCGGTTTAGAAATTTCCCACCTGTGCAGTTAGGAAATATCAGATCATTTAATGGTCATCTCTTCTGAATAACTTGCAGACTTAATGGATTTTTGTTTCTTTTTTGCATGTTTTCACTCACAGGCTACAACTGGAGTTAGCAAATGCACACTTTGCCTGAGTAATCGCCAACATCCAACGGCTACTCCTTGTGGTCATGTATTCTGCTGGTATGGTCCTGATATTCTCTTTTTCATTGTCAATCTCTATTTTATTTCTCTCTCTCTCTCTCTCTCTTTTTTTTTTTCAACGTTCCACTGAGCTGCAGTAATATCTGTAATTGTGCTTAAGGCATGCTATGTTTGCAGGAACTGCATCATGGAATGGTGCAATGAAAAGCCAGAATGCCCTCTCTGCCGTACTCCCATAACTCATTCAAGCCTAGTTTGTCTGTATCATTCAGATTTCTAGGATGGGCATAGAATTACTTGCGGTTAGGAAGAACACTAATAAAAAGCCACCAACTTGTTTGCTTCTTTGAAGATGTAAAGTATAAATCTGGGGAATGAGTTAGAAATTTAGAAAACAAATCCCTATGGTGGTCACATAGTTGTAATTGCATCAGATTTTTTTCAATGGCCAATGAGCGTTCACATAATTTGGAAATTGGGATTCTTTTTTCCTCTTTCTGGTGTAGAATGTAAATTATCAGAAGGGAATAGTTGCATAATGAGTTTGCTTCTGGAGCAATGTTTTTTGTCTTTCTTATTGACGAAGTTGTAATATATCAAAACTTGTACTTCTATTTTTAAAGCAAATAATTTTGATTCATTTGAACTTGCTTTGAAATTTCATTTGGATCTTATTCTGCTGCTAGAATGCTCAAAAATCATTTTACTTCTCGAAGGAGAAATTAGCTAAGACTACTGACTAAATGTGTCGGGTAATTAAATATCAGTTTTTAATAAAATATGTTGTTGTATATTTAGTTAGATATTACAAGGCCTATTTTAGAAAAATGTAACAATGTTAAATGTTTAGGGTGCATTTGTTTTAATATTTCATACTTTATTCCTTATCTTATTCTCGAAATACATGTTTGTTTAATTATTTGGGAAATATGATTTTATTTTTTTAATTACTTTTAGACCCCTTAAATTTATTAATTTAATTAAACACCCCTAGAAAAAAAGTTTAAAAATTAACAAAAACACCCTCACCCACCCATAGTTGCCGGAATCTGTCACAACGGCGTAGAAACGACCGGAATTGGTCAGTAATTCGCCGATTTGGCCTTTTTCGGTCAGATCCACAGTGGATCTAGCGGGAAAAGGTCAAATCTTGGTCGTCGCTAACTAACAATGACGGCCATATCTTTGGCCATCGCTGACGGCCAAATTTGGCCTTTTGCGGCCATCGACGGTCAGATCTGGTCGTAGATTTGACCTTTTTCGGCCAGATCCGTGGTAAATTTGGCCGAAAAAGACTATGTCGACGCACCGGCCAAATCTGACCAGTCTACGTCGTAACACCATTTTCTGGCCAGATTCCAGCGGTGGTGGCCAAAATCTGACATTGTGGGTGAATGTGCTTTTGTCATTTTACAAAATTTTTATATATTTGGATGTTTAGTTAAATTAGCAAACCTATGGGATTTTTTTGTTAATTTTTAAATTTTACCTCGTAATACTCAACTTATTCAACTACCCAATATTATTTCCAAAATCCTATCTAAAATAACAAAACAAACGGACCCTTAGATTTGTAAAGTATACTGTTATATTGGAAATGTGAAATGGCATTTTATTAATAAATAATACAATAATACTAACCTAACAAACCCCTCTTACTAACCCCACGTAGGAGTTTGTGATTGGCTTGGTCAGGCGAAACCCATTATTGAACAGGTGAGACTCATGTGAACTAACGAATTGTGAGCTGACACATGATGTTTGTGAGAGAAAGTTAGTGTTAAGTGTTTGTGCGTGTAGTGTTACTCTAAATAATAATATGTAAAAACAATCAAAATTGAAACAAACTATCTGTAAGTGGTTAAGTGATTCGATAAGGACTTTTAGATATATTACTCAAAAGGTTTTTAATTCGAATATTTATTCGGTTGTCAATAAAGATAGTTACAAAATATATCAATAAAAATAATTTTCTTGTTTCCTTTTAAAAAATAATCTTATGTAACATGACCTCAAATACAAAATACAAAATACTATACTACTATTTGTTAATCTAAAATTAAAGTGATATGACATTTACTTAAGAATCATATGTAATTTATCACATAATATTTTCTTAATCTTTACACATTTTTGTAATAGGAATATTTGAACCTTTTAATGTTGTAATCCTCATGATTCATCGAGGAGCATCACCACACGGGATCTCAAATACCTCATCAAATCCGTCAAAAATTAACTAATCAATTTCACCCGTCCGATAATAGCCACCTATCTAAATCTTTATTTTTTAACATACAANTTGTCAATAAAGATAGTTACAAAATATATCAATAAAAATAATTTTCTTGTTTCCTTTTAAAAAATAATCTTATGTAACATGACCTCAAATACAAAATACTATACTACTATTTGTTAATCTAAAATTAAAGTGATATGACATTTGCTTAAGAATCATATGTAATTTATCACATAATATTTTCTTAATCTTTACACATTTTTGTAATAGGAATATTTGAACCTTTTAATGTTGTAATCCTCATGATTCATCGAGGAGCATCACCACACAGGATCTCAAATACCTCATCAAATCCGTCAAAAATTAACTAATCAATTTCACCCGTCCGATAATAGCCACCTATCTAAATCTTTATTTTTTAACATACAAATGTAAATATATATACTAGGCGTCGAGTCGTACCAAAAATTAGGGTTTCACGTACTGAAAGAGTTATACGCAAGAGTCCCAAGCGGCGAAGCAGCAGCAGCTTAGTCTCCTTTGATTCCCAGCAAACATGGCTACTCAGATTAGCAAGAAGCGCAAAGTTATTCTCTTTCTCTCATTCTCTCTCAGTTTTTCACACTCTGTTTTAATTTCTGAATCATGTTCTTACCTCAAAACTTATAAGAAGATACAAGAGATCACTTGACTTGTCTTAGTTTTGATCTAACATGAAAATGAAATCACAAAAGCAATGTTTGACAATAGCTTCTTGGATTAATCATAAAAATTATATCACAAAATCAATTTTTGACTCGGATCTTTTGTTGATCCAAATGACGATTATATGGCGCAGTTTGTTGCTGATGGTGTGTTCTTTGCGGAGCTGAATGAAGTCCTAACAAGAGAGCTTGCTGAAGATGGATACTCCGGTGTCGAAGTTAGAGTTACTCCCATGCGTACTGAGATCATCATTAGGGCCACACGCACTCAGAACGTTCTTGGTAAATTATCCAATTATTAAGGTCTTGAATTTTCTTTGAATGAAAAAAATTGATTTAGATATGTCATTTAATTTTTTATTATATTATTCCTAATATTGTCTTTTTATTTTCAGGCGAGAAGGGAAGAAGGATTAGGGAGCTGACCTCCGTTGTTCAGAAACGATTCAAGTTTCCAGAGAACAGTGTGGAGCTCTATGCTGAGAAAGTTAACAACAGGGGTCTCTGTGCTATTGCTCAGGCTGAGTCCCTGCGTTACAAGCTTCTCGGAGGTCTTGCAGTTAGAAGGTACTTTCAAATCATTTGAAATTTTTGTTGTAATGTGCTTATTGAGTAGTTGGTTAATCTGTATTAGTGCTAAGATGTGATATATTTTTGTTTAAAAAATCCTTTTGGCGATTAGGGGTTTGACTTTATCGTTTCTGCTATTGATGCATGTATTTTATTTGTTTTTCAACCTGTAGTTTCAATTTGGATAGTTTAAATTTTCATACGTAGACTTGGCCCCTAATAAGTTGGTATGCTACCTTGATTCTTGATTTTTACTAGCTCAAGTCATCTTTACAGCGAGCTGGTTACCTATGAATACCTTTCTCGTGTCTGAGGATGACCATATTGGCAGTTCCAACTATTCTCTATAACGCAGGGAATAACGGTCATATTCCTTGCGACAAAGGTTTGGATGGTACATTTCAATGACCTGCATTTTCCATTGTTTGTGAAGGGTTAACATCGTGTTTAGGGACTATGATGAGGGGAATTTGTTATAACCGTATTTATATTAGTTGGAGCCCCTTAAATTTGATTTACTCACCAGTTATGCTTCAAATATAGTAAAGTTAAGTATTAACCCAATGGTTATAACCGTATTTATATTAGTTGGAGCCCCTTAAATTTGATCTACTCACCAGTTATGCTTCAAGTTTAGCAATGTTAAGTGTTAACCCAATGGTCAGGATGAGTGGATAAAGATATTTGTTTTTAATCATGATATCAAGAAAGTGAATCCTCTTGGGATATATCTAATAAATTTCCTAATACTAAGATTGTAGGTTTTAGTTGTGGTTCCTAGTTTAAAACTTGGTGAGCAGATGGGAAAGGTTGTGAAGGATTTACATTATTGATATTCTGTACGAGCTTTGTGTATCCTTACAAATTGTTTAAAATTAGTGTGAGTTCATATAGCCTTATATTTGCCATGAGGGGTGCTTTTCCATGACTGCACAAGAGATTAGTGAGACATTTTTTGGTTCTCATTTACGTACTCTGTTATGTCTGCAAAGGTCAACTAAGAAAACTGAGTTGTGCACATGTTTCAGTCTTTTGCTACTTTATGTTATGAGCATTATTCCCGCTGCCTTGCCAGATGAGCCCTGGGGTTTCGACTTCAATACTTGCATAGAGGTTCTGTTTTGTTTTGTCTTTTTGGGCTTCCTTTTACTTCTAGTAACCTGCTAAGAGTTTGAATATTCTTGCACTTCCCACCTTTTATTTTTTAGCATATTTTATTCTTGCTTGTAACTTTTTGTCTCGTGGAATTCAGCATCACAACTGTGATCTCTTATTGTTTTATAGGGCATGCTACGGTGTACTGAGATTTATCATGGAGAGTGGAGCTAAGGGATGTGAGGTATGCCAAACTTACCCACCTGTAATTATTTGCTTATATGACTTTTTTTTTTTTTTTTTGTTTTCAAAGTTCAAGTGTTTTTTTATATCCATGCACCAGGTTATTGTAAGTGGAAAGCTCCGGGCTCAGCGTGCCAAGTCAATGAAGTTTAAGGATGGGTACATGATATCCTCTGGTCAACCTGTGAATGAGTACATTGACTCAGCTGTGAGGCATGTTCTTCTTAGACAGGTCAGGTTTCTAATATTTATCTGGTTTAGTTCTTATGCCATTTTCCATTTCTTTCTTGTTTTTTCATCTTTTTGGAAATAATTGTTGTCTTTGGTTCTTGCTTCACATTACAAATGTGTACTGACATCTCCTGTCAAATGGTAACAGGGTGTGCTTGGTATCAAGGTCAAGATCATGCTTGACTGGGATCCCAAGGGTAAGCAAGGACCGATGACACCTTTGCCTGATCTGGTCACCATCCACCCTCCAAAGGAAGAAGAAGAGTATGTCCCGCCAGTGATGACCACCACTATTGAACTTCCAGTAGCATAAACTCCAGAGTTGGGTTATGTTCCAGTAAGAGTCTGATGTAATGGTTTAGTAATAGCATTATGTTTTTATATCTATGTTTGTGCGAGAGAATACTAGACACATCCTTTGAATATTTCTCATTCCTAAGTTATCCTCAAATTTAGAATTTTTTATTATTATTATTATTTTTTTTTTTTTGAGGCGAGAGGTTTTCCTAATTTTTGTGTTTACGCCTCTTTGACGTTATTCTATCTGATGTTGATCTTGTTGTAATCCCCTAAATCCCAAATGTCGCATCAAACTCCATAATTGGCATGTTATTTTAGGCAAGGCACCTATTATTTATGCTCAGTTATTTGCGCACGGAGGTTATCATCTTAAAAACGCCATCCCTGTCCTTGTCTACGAGAGAGCAGGTGGTTGACATAACGGGCTCTGGGTTTAAGAGACTTGGTTTCTATTGGTAGCCCTTCATGTAGGGGATTTGATGATTCCATTTGTTATCGTTTTACAATATGTAATCCTAAAGATTTCAGGTCTAGAGAACCAACAGTTTCTAGCTATGGAGAGGTAGCCATGGCTAGAAAGCCTCTAGGAAATTTAGCCATATTGAAACCCGAATTGTATTAATATTTAATTTTATGACCTATGATTATTGTATCCAGCATAGTTTCAAGGTAACCTTTGAAATTCAATATTTCACTCAAAAGAGAGAATCTGAAAGAATGAGTAAAGACGCTCCTCGTTCTTATGAAGATGGGTGGTACTTTTTTGATGAAAAATAATAGAGACATCGGGATTAATGCATCGAATCTGTATATCGAATGACGTGACGAAATCTTGATCATCGATTAATTATAATTTAATATTAATCAACGGTTAAGATTGTGTTATGTCTTTCGGTGCACTACTCCAAGTGACTGTAACAGTACTCTTTTTTGATTTGGGAGGATCGTCTCTAGCTCTGTATGCATGGTTTAGGCGAATTTTCAATCGGGAATTCCAAAATTGGTTTTGCCAGTTTAAAATGGAGATCTCCAAATAATTTAGACGAAGAGTGAGTTCTGTAGTTTATCAAACAATATCCTTCAACATAAAGTGAGTTTTGTAGTTTTGCATCAAATAATATCCTCAATGTTTTAGAAATGTATAAAAGATTATGTATGCTATATTGTTATATTATATACTATAATTTGTTTCATTTATCTTTAATTTTAAGCTTTTAATTATACACCAAGGGGAACTTCTTAATCTATATAAGAAGTTTTTACCTAAAGCATTAGGGAAAGTTAACCCCCATTTGTTTCACTCTTTTCAATCATTTTTCTGTTATCCTATTTAGATTAAAAAACAAAATAAGTGTTTGCTTACTTATTGAGCTCATTATTTTGAAAATCAATCCGAATCAAATAAATCTTTTTCTATTGAAAATGAAAAGTGGGTAGACTTGTTTTCTATTATCCTATTATAACATTTTTCCAACTCTATTCAACTAAAAACAATTATATTTCACAATAAAAGTTTATAAATTACCAACAACACCCCCACCCACCCAAGCCATTGTCGGTCGCTAGCAACCACCGTCAGTCGTCGGAACAACACACGACCAGCCGAATCTGGCCGGTTGTACTTCGATCTAGCTGTTTTTGGCTAGATATTTGGTTGTTAACGACGACCAGATTTTGGTCTGCTAGAAAAGGCTAGATCAGTGCACGACCGACTAGATCCAGCCAGTCGAGTGTCATTCTAGCGATTGTTGGCTATCGTCCGGCAATGGTGGCCAGTTACCGACAATTTTTGGGTGGGTGGGGGTGTTTTTGTTAATTTATAAACTTTTATCGTAAGGAGTGTTTAGCTAAATTAACAAATATAGGAGATTAAAAAATAATCTAAATATTTTCAAAAAATGTACCAAACAACTATTCTAATTTTTGTCAAACTTAGATATAATTTTCAGTTATTATACCAAACACATTCTCAGAATCCTATCATAGTCAAATAGTTTTTCAGAATAATATTTTTTCAAATAACCTACCAAACCCATTTTAACAAGGCAAATTAAAAAATTACCAACTTCTAAATGACTTTGTAAGAAAAACCTCTCATAAGGTTTTTGAACACTCCTACCCCTATCTTTCACACTTACTCACATGAATACCATTGCTTTCATAAAAATGAAAAAAAAAAAAAAAAAAAAAATTTGATCTAAGATTGAAATGTAGAATATTATGGCTTTTGTTGGTTCATTTTTTTGAAAGAATTTAGAGTTAAAAGGTATAAGAAATTTCGAAAACGTTTAGCGTATAAAAAAGAGGAAAAAAGAAATCGTGTCAATTCGAATTGGTTGAAAATTCACCTTTTCCGAAAAATGATGAACAAGCCCAATCAAATTTGAATAAACTCGAGTTACTTGAATCTGGTCACTTGAGTGGGGTATAATGATATTAACCTCGCATGAGTGGGTCTTTTTGATATTTTTTAGAAGTGATATTAATATCTAACATAATATATTATAGATAAAATACAGTAGAACCTCTCTATAGTGATATTCTATATAGGAAAAATCTCTATATAGTCATAAAAAATTCTAGTCACAACTTGGTTAAGTTATAAATAAGAATAAACTCTACATTGTAATAAGTTATAATTTTTCTAGGTGTTGTCTTAAGGAACTTGCTTCCACATAGTAATAATTATCTATATATTGCAAAAAATATATGCTATGTTACATTAAAAGTTTAAGATGAAATAAAATATTTATCTAAAATTGTTTGGGATAATGATTTATGTTTTAGAGTTGTTACCATATTTTTGAACTTGTGGATATGTAATAACTCGCCAGCATGGACATCTTCTTGTTGAAGCCAAAATATTTTTAAGTTCTCAAGCATGTTTAGAGCTTGTTGGCACGAAACTTTTTTTATTTCTGTACTATCATCCTTAGGTTATCTCCTTCCTCTTCTTGTCTGATTGTAGTAATGATTTTTTCTTTAGTTAAAGTATATATGACTTGTTGCTCATTTGGATGATTGATGAAGACATTAATATCCATTTGATTAGTGCATAATTTACCTCTATATCACTTGCACTAAGGATAACTAAGTCAAAACAAATAATTTTTGTAACTATAACTCTATTAAGTTATAACCTTCTTATAGTAATAAAATTGTTTGGTTCCACCATTATAACTATAGAGAGGCTTTATTGTATCTATATTATATGTAAAATATCAAAAAGGTTCACTCAAGCGAAGTTAATATCATTATACCTCACTTGAGAGACCGAACTCGAGCCATCGGACTTGAACAACTAGAGTTTCTGCAACTTTTTTGAAAATCAGTTTTTTCAATTCAAGTGTTAGAAAGTGAGGTCTCTCTCTCTCTCTCTCTCTCTCTCTCAATATACAATATTTCACTTATATTAAACACATATGAACATAATAGGCCTAACTGGTAGATTATTTGAAAAGTGTTATTTTGAAAAAGTGTTTTAAGTTAAGTTGAGTTGAGTTGGATTAAAATGAACATGATCAGATTTTGAAAATGTGTTTGGTAAAATATCAAAAAATTATATTAGAGTTTGATAAAATGCTAGAATTGTTGTTTGGTACATTTTTTGAAAAAGGTTTTCAAGAGAGAACAGTTGTTTGGTACATTTTCTGAAAATATTTATTATTATTTTTTTAAACCCCTACATTTGTTAATTTAACTAAACACCCCCATAATAAAAGTTTAAAAATTAACAAAAGCACCCCAGCCACCAAAGAGGATAGTCGGCTGCCAGCCACCACTGCTGGACAACAGTCGTCAGAACAGTGCACGACCAGCTGGATCTGGCCGGTTGTGCATCGATATGGTCGTTTCTAGCCAGATCTATCGTAGATTTAGATGAAAACAACTAGAAGTCTGGCCGTCGTTAACGACTAGATAGCCAGATAGACCTGGCCGTTTCTGGCTCAATCCATGGTGGATCTAGCCGAAAACAATCAGATTGAACCGGTCATGCACCGTTCCTGCCACATTGGTCGGCAGTGGTTGCTGGTAGGCGATGGTGGTCTTGGGTGAATTAATTTTTAGATTGGAAGGAGAGAAAAATGAGAAGGAGAGAAAGAAAAAAAAAAATGTTTTGGTTGATAGAGTTGGATAGAAAAATGTTTTGAGTTCAATAGAGTTGAATAATCTGAAAATAAGTCCCCCCCTCTTTTCAGTTTTAAACAAAAAATGTTATTTGATTCGGATTAATTTTCAGAATAATGATCACAATAACTAAACAAACACATATCATATTTTTTAATCCAAATAGGATAACATAATAATGATTCAGAATAGTGTAACCAACAGGGGCAATATCACCCAAATATATACAAATAATACAAACAACATAAATCTAAAAACATTAAGGAGAAGAAAGAAGAGAAAATAAGAAAAGAGGAGAAAGAAGTAAAGGGAAATGAACCGAAGGTGAAAGGCAAAATTGTCTAGAATTTTTAGCAAAGGTCTTATTTACAAAGGCATTTAGAGGTGGATTGTTTTTCAGTTTGTCTCTTAAAATAGGGTCATATAAGTAATTATTTGAAAGAATTATTCTAACTCACTCGTTGCTTCTAATACTTAGGGATAAACATATATTATCCCATCTTTAATTATGTTAACAATCAAATATTCACTCACACACTTAAGTTAACAAATGAAATATCATTTATACCCTCCATAAAATATCCATGATACCCTTAACCTTATAATGAATTATTAAACCCTTTAGATCAATTTTTATATATTTGTTTGCCTGAAAACAAAAGCTACATATTAAGAATATTTATGAACTAAGTTGGAGTACAGTGAAACATATCAATTCCCATATTCATTGATTCTTTTGTTTGATTATATATTGGAAAGTGACTTTTAGCCCCCATATTCAATTTTAAGTGGGCATATATTGTAACAAAAAAGTTTCTTCTTCTTCTTCTTCTTCTTCCATAATTTTACTTCAAAGCTTTATGTTTGCAATAAAAAATTGAAATTAAATTTAAATCATTCAAAATGAACAATAAAACACCAAATTTCCTCAATGTGAATTTGTCAATCCCACCTTGAAAGAAGAAAGACCCGTTTCATACCCATTAAAGTAAATTCCAAATTGACGAAAGAAAAACCTGGTTCCATACCA